ATCTGAAACATTTACTTCCATAGTTTCTCCCGACGCAGCTAGCGATCGAACTATAAATCCAGTCGCACTATAAATTTGAATCGATTCCTGGAAGGCGTGTTTTGAAAATTTAAGAGTAATGATTTCTGATGCAGGGTTTGGAAAGACCATCCAAGGTGCTTCCTGATTCTTTTCGTCAATACCTAATATACCACAGTCATATTCTATAAGGTAGGAAGTGGTGTCGATAGGGCAAATACTGGCTGGGTTGATGACTTTACATTCATAAACTCCTGCTGTAGATATAAATAATGTGTCTTCATTGGTCATCAATGGCAAAAGCGTTCCATTCTTAAACCAAAATATATTTTCCGTACCGGATAAAAACCCGTTGGCATGCAATACGGCAAATGCCACAGTATCCCCGGTACACGGGTCACCTAATACGTCAAAGTAATAGCCTGATAATTGGGGTGCCTTTGTGTAGGTGAAAGATAATTCTGAGCAACCGCTCACAGTAGCCATAACAGAAAAACGTGAGATCCCATACTGGGAGTAGTTTGGTAAGAATTGGCGGGTTTCTGGTAAAAGAACTCCGTTGAAAAACCATTGATAGGTATCTGCTGTTTGTGTCCAGAGTGTATCATAATTACACAACCAAGGTTTAACCGCATAAACAGTTGGCGAATGACTACAAAATTGAATGGTAGTATCTGTCATGCTGGTATGCAGACCCTGCAAATCACAATTTGTTGTCGTCAGCGAAACAGTGTATGTCCCATTAGACAAATAAGAATGCGTGGGATTTGAAAGTGATGATGTTGTGCCATCTCCAAAGTCCCAAAAATAGGTTTGCTTTACCCCAAAGCTGATGGGATTAAAAATTACTTCATTTACACCCGTTCCTATCTGATAGCCAAAGTTAGATATTGGAGCTTTCTTAAAATTCCACAGATGCAAGCTATCAAAGACCATTGTTTTAACGGCATTTTTAATGATGGCAGCGTCAGATGTACTTAACCCGAAATTAAAGGTGATCAAATTCGGATCCTTTTTAAAAAGTGCGGTATAAAAACAACATGCGGCGGCGTAAGAACCAGCCGTTGAGGGATGGCTGTCATCTGTTTGGTACAAATTGACGTTCGGGAAGTTTTGCCTAAGATAGTTCCAGACAACTGACACAGGAGACACTTCTCCATTGAGCGTTTTCGTAAGGTTTAAATAACGATTTCTTAGAGTAGTGTCCATACCCTGATAGGTACACATTACCGGGAAGGCGGCACAGTTCGATGCATCGCCATTTTTCTTTCCCCAGGTCATATAGGGCATTGTTACTGCACAAGGGTTGTGTTGCTTTATTAAGTTATATAAATTCAATCCGCCAGTACTAAATTGGCTATACCTTGTAATTGGCTCATAACTCTGTCCCTGGATAACTACATA